GCGAATACCAACGTCATTTCAACAAAAGAGGATATTTTATTAAATGACTTTGTTGAATCTTTGAGTTTATTTCAAATTGTCTACGGTGTAACTCGCGATGCATCTAGTACATGTCTTGATTTTGTAATAACTTTCAATCCATTGTTTATAAACAATGTAACGATTGAACCACCTTTGAATAAAAGGGACCATAATTTTGTAGAATTCGATCTCAATTTATCTCTTGGACGGAAAAATAAGGTAATTCGAACTGTGTATGATTATGGTCCAGTGAATTGGGATATGGTGAATGCAAGATTTAGAGAAATTCCATTGAGTCAAATTTTAAATATAACATACTATAACAATGTGAATGAAAGAACGCAAGCATTTGAAGAAATTTTTTTAGAACACATAAATATGTTCCTCATAAACTATTATCTATACAACCACGTGATAAATTATGGTTTAACGAAACGCTTCGCGTTCTTTATAAGAAAAAATGTAGATTGTACCGTCAAAGAAATAAGTCTGTTTATCATTTGAATATGTATAAAGGAGTAGCAAAAAAATTGAGAGAGGAATGTGTTATAGCGAAAGGACAGTATTATAAAAGAATAATACTAAAGGATGCGCCTCATCAAAAAACTGGTGGAGTTTAGTTAAACATTTGTTGGATAGAGGCAGATATTCAACAATAGCAGCTCTTAAAAATAACAATAATGAAATTGTTACGGACACTATAGAAAAGATTGAAATGTTGATTTGCACATATTTGTACATGGAATGGTCCTACGATTAGTCCTAATATTGCTGATAGTCTTTCTTTGTTTCCTGTCTTATTTCACAAGTTTCAAGTTCGCCTAATGAATGTAGATAAGGTACTTGAAAAACTAGATCTTAGTCGTGCTTGTGCGCCACCTTTGAGTAATCGAATGCTAAAAAATATGATTTCCTCAATAGTTGAACCCTTAACGAAATTGATATCTGAATCATTTGAGTCATCTATATTTCCTGCACATTGGAAGAATGGCATTGTTAATTCACTACATAAAAATGGAGGTAAACTAGATCCATCTAATTATCGTCCAATAACATTGCTACAAGCCTTTTCTAAAATTTAATAATAAATAATGTAAAAATCTGGCTCTGTTAAGTCCTAGCTATAGATGTTATCTACAAATCAAAGGAAAATTTTCTTTCTCGGATGTATCGTTACCACGTGCAGGAATTCTCAATAACTTGGACGATTAAGTTACCAAAAACATCAGATTTTATCAATGTACTACATAATTCTTGTATAATCTTGATATTAGTCTTGATGGTATACCATAATCTTGATATTGTAGTAATTGGTTGAATAGACTTAAGCTTTTTACCAGTATTATCACTATCAAAAGGTGGTGAATGATCGTTTTTCATCAGATAGTTGTTATCGTTGCATTTGCGATACACAATGGCTCACTTATTCAGAAAAAACACATCCTTCCACCATGAAAAAAAGAAGAGATGCATCTGCAGGTGCACCTAGTAATAGTTAAATCGATCGATTATTGGGCGATAAATCGATAGTTGCAACTAGAAAAAATCTAGTAATCGCCCAATTGCTAGATTTTCACTGTCGTTACACCGTAGTTGCAATGGAGTAAAAATCTAGTCACCTAGATGAATCGGGTGAGACTAGTTTTTTTTTTGACGCTTGGGAATACAAGACCCCTCTGAAATCTTTAAAACTCAGGACAGATTATAAGAACCTGGTCTTCTAATGTGACAACCCCTTTACTTTCGTGTTTGTTTCATTTCAATTGTGAGTAGCTGTTTGTATTTCACAGTTATCATTATCATTTTGCAGCTGAAGAAATAAAATTATTTTCTTACTACTTACTTCATAAATGTTGGATCAATAGACACTAGAGGTATTCTAACATTCGCTTTATCAGCTAAATAGCCACAAGATCGTAGATAAGCTTTTTAGTGGCACGTGCAAAAACCCGCTTGCCTTCATAATTTTTGCCTTAGGATTGCGCGTCTTGCAGAAGATTGAAATCTGCTCAGCTTTACAGAATTTTTTTGATTGACGGACTTCGAGATGAGCAAACTGAGTAAAAGAATCAGGCGTAATTCCTACATAGATGCCATATATTTCAGATGTCTACCTGCGTTCATTAACTACTTGTAAAAAGATGATCATTGTGATCTAACGTCATGAAACCGAGTGAGTCGAGGACGAAACGTTACATGTTATCAGAACTTCAAAGTGCTCCTATTCGTCGCATTAGTCCTTGTGTTACAGAACTGCAACTTATGTTAAGATTTTTGTCCTGATAAAGAACTTAAACTTTTTATCATCAGTTGGTGGACATATCTTGTTAACCTCAAACATCATTTTCTTTTATGATGGAACTTGATCATGGCAAACAAAACGTGCTGAGTGACAATAAGATAGAAAAGAAACGACACGAAGAACGAATGTCATCCGTAGAAAATCGTTGTTATTTCACAATCAAATGTAATTTCATGTAATTTGCAGCATGCAGTTAAAACAGAGAAAGACAAGATTTGAAGATACATTTCATTTTTCTCAATATATGCGTTCTTTTGTTTAAAGTTAATCTAATTCCACAGACCATTATAAATGGCGTTAAAGCGTATTACAAAAGAACTGAAAGCCATTGAAGAATATTCGGAATACTGTAGTGCTGCAATAGTGGACGATGATATGTTCCATTGGAAAGCAGTAATCATGGGTCCCAATGATAGTCCATATGAAGGTGGGCTGTTTAGCCTAGACATTCAGTTCCCATTTGATTATCCATTTAATCCACCGGAAATTAAATTTACTACAAAAATCTATCATCCCAATATTCACACAACCGGTGCGATATGTGTGGATATTCTTCGATCACAATGGGATCCTGCATGGACAATGGGAAAACTTTTATTGGGTATCTGTTCATTGTTAACCGATGCAAATCCTAACGATGCAGCCAATGCACGTGCTGCACAGTATTACCGAGAAGATCAACAGAAGTATGATAAGATTGCACGGTGGTGCACAAAGAAATATGCGACGTGAAGCTGTCTAAAGTCGCATAGTGCTTCGGAATTTGTGTTT